ATCTTGGGGGGGGGGGGTGACCATATATATATATATATCTATATATATATATATAATATGTAGATAGATAGATGGTTAAATAGTGCCACATGTCGTGTTGTTAGCTGTGCCGGGCTGGACCTCCCCTCCAACTACAAGGGCATTCCCGCACCGCTTACATTATGGTTCGGCTGGCTCTGTTTCACGTAGGTGCCAGGGCAAAACTTTTCACGCACATCACGACTGCAATGCACTAACCGTGAAATGGACCGAAGCACCATGTCGATAGATCCCGGAGAACTCGGCTTGCGAGGGCAATGCCCAGATCGCATCAAAGCACCTGATCTCGATTTCCGCGTTGATCTGAGGAGAGAATGCCGATGTCTAAATACGCCGTGACACCTTCTAAGTTCTCCTGCATTTCGGCCAAGAGACTCTAAGAGGTCTGCCGCATACAACAATGTGAGGACGGAACTTGCACCAGCATTGTTCTTCCTGGGCGAATGGGACCGGTATGAGGCTGCTTTTCGTCGTGCCGGCAAGGTTCCCACTTGCAAACGTCCTTTGCTCATCCGCTGAAGCTACTCCAGTCTTGACACTGAGCAACGATGCACAATGCAGCTTCCCCGGACGGTCAGCACTCGTCTTTGCGGTTCAGGCTCGTCAACACTGTGACGGCTCGCCGCGATCCAGCGCGAGAAAAGCGCAGTTCGCTAAGCATGCCTTACAAACCATCGGGAAGCTTCCGGCAAGAATTCCAGGCTTGAAGTGGCATCACCCCGTATGCTCGAACAGCTCCGATTCGGCTGAGGCGCCCAGGATTTCGGACTCCGATATAACCTCTCCAAAACCCTCGCCAGATTATGCCCCAAAGCTGTCAAGACCTGCTTTCCGCAGCTCGAATTAGTCCATTGAAGCGCTCTTTTCCTCATCTTTGCCCACCAAGCCACTCTTGAGGTTGGCGATTCTGCTCCTGAGCAGCTGCTTCTCGTCACTCGATTAAGAAGGAAGCGGTGCAAGCTGAAGCACGCGATGCTGCAGAGACTGCCAAGCATTCAGGGACGTGTTGTGGCATTCCTGCTATGCGGCAGCAAAAGTTTGTTAAACTTAATGAATGTTCGACTCGGAAAACTGGCTGAGGGCCGGAGCGCTCTGTTCCAGCTCTCTAAGGGGATCCTAGAAATCCAAACAAACAGCAGTGATACGAAATGGCGATGGGCATTCTGAGCAGTCGTAGCTGGGATCCAAGGCCCCTATAGGCTGCAAACGACAACGACGACAAAAACCAACACCAACAACACCACAACCACTACCACTAGCACCACCACCAGCAGCAGCGCCATCACCAGCACCAGCAACGGTAGCAGCAGCAGCTACCAGCCCCAGCCGAAGTCCCAGCCCAACAGCAACAGAAACAACAACAGCAGCAGCAGGAGGAGCTGCTGCTGATGCTGCACGAGCACCACCACGCACCACCACCAACAACAGCAGCAACAAAAACAGCAAGGAACGAACCAACACAGTAGACCCCTCAGAACTTTCTTCAATCATAGAGTTAGAGAAGACATACCCTGGAGCCCGGTACCGTGGGTTGTTCTGCGGGGGGCGGGTTGGGAGCGGGGGGGCTCGGTTGCTGCCCCTTGCATGTTTTGTCTCTGCTACGGGGGGGGAAACACAATCTGGGGCCCCGCTTTCTGCTCTGTGGGGCCGGTTGGTTGTTCTGATGTTGTTCCCTGCTGTTTGTGTGTAGGCTAGAAAGCGCAAAGTCTGGTGTCCCGCTTGTTGTTCTAGGGGAGGTGTTGTAGTGCTTGTGGTTGCCTGGGTAAGACGCGAAGATCGTATGTAGGGTTCGCTGCAAACCTGAAAGCCTAACCCCTCCCACCCTCCCCGTTTCACCTGTGCAGTCGGTGACAGGCAACCCCAACCCTGGTTTCATCTCTGCCGGGCGGACATGGGCTTTGCCAGCCAACAAACCCATCCAACAACTGCCCAAAGTTGCTCAGAGCTCTGGGCATACGGCTCAAGTGCAAGGCAGGAGTAGGTTGAGCGACTGTGGAATTGCAATTGGACTCTCGGCGCGGCTGTTGCGGTTTGGACTTTCGCAACTCGGACGCCTGTTCTGATATCAATGCATTCATGGCCCAAACCTGCAGACGGCCATGCTATAAGCCGTTTCAACTTCAACGATTTGAGAAAGTCGGTAGGTTCTCGAAAGCTGTGGGTTTCCGCCTTGCAGCATCCTTGGCATGCGGACTTACCGACGGAGCTATGCGGAGTGCCTAGCACATCATCTAAGCGCTGAAAAACCTGAGCGTGCTTCAATCCACAAGTGGCCGAACCGGCCCAGGAACACCTCAATGAGGGTCATGCGTGCTGCACTTCCTTTAAGGCGGCTTTGCACGCTGTTTCTGTTTCCTTCTTTTTTTGCTTTTGAAAGAACCTGAGCCGAACGGATATACTGTTGCTTTTAAAAGAACCTGAGCCGAACGGATATACTGCTGGCTTGTAGATTGTGCGAGTCCATGGCCCCTTGGCACGGTGACGGTGCGACCAGGTGTGCTCAACCGTCGATGCCACAGCCTTTAGCTTCTGCAAGTCGTGCTGGGGAACACTGGGGAACCAGCCAGGCGAAGCGAACCTCAAACAAGTCTCTGGGCCTTCCCGAAGTGCGCCTTCGGGGGCATCTCCAGAACAAGTGTTGAACATCTGCCCCATGCGTTCCGCGGAAGGGGCAATAATTGTGATGATCTCCCGCGTCCTTTCTTTCAGACAAGGCCGCCGGGCTGATGAATGAACCAGTGAGCGCTGCCACAGTGGCGCCGTGAGTCTTTTCAGAGATCGGACCCAGGCCGTCCGATTGGTGTCGTATGCCTGTTTGGCGAAGGGCCCTGCGCCTCTCCTGTCATACGAGGTCAAAAGTGCAAAGTCCCCGTCGCCAAGCTTCACCAAGAAAATGGGCGACTTTTTGCATGCCTTGCTTTTGTGCTCCATCCTGTATCTTCCAAGAAAGGGAGAAAATGCCGTTCCAGGTACGGTCATCCGTGCAAATGATGTGATACATTGTGATGCAGTAGCCGGCTGAGCTTTCTCGACGAAGTTGTAGCCGCGTGCATCAGAACATTCGGCGACAGAGGGGGCAGAGTCTGGGCAGAGCGTCACCTTGAGGAATCGACATGGCAGTCTCGAGGATGGTCGGGTAACCGCTCGCAGCCCATGGTAACACGTGCTTGTGAGATGGCCAGTGATCTTGAGGCACATGAGTTTTGTTCAGACCCTGCCTGCATAATAGCACGAGGTGTGACGTTATCAACGGCGAGGGAATGGTCCAGAGTCGCGCAGAAACTGCGCTTCAGCATAGAATTCTGGTAGAATGGTTCCGAACACGGGCAGTCACAGCCTCCCGCAATCTGGGAGGGCGTGGTGGTCTGTCTCCGGGTTTGAGCTTTTTGCCCAGGCACCACTCCTGGTGACCCCATTGTGCAACTTATGAGCTGTTTTGATTTCATCGCTCCATAGCCCAAACCGGATGATGCCCACGCTCTAATCCTTTTCGATTTGAGTGCGCCCGTGTCCCAAACCCGATGATGTCCACAGTCTAACCCGTCTTGATTGCGGCGCATCCATGGCCCAAACCTGCAGACGGCCATGATCCAATCCGTGTTGATCTCACAGCATCCATGATCCCAAACCTACAATTATAATGAATCTGAAGCGCCTTCAACATGCGAGATCACACTCTTCGAGGATTTGCAAGTACAGGCAAGAACTCCAAGCGCGTCAATGCCTGCTGAGCAAAAGCACCAAAAGGACTAAAAGCATCTTCAAACCCCAGCGGCCGTTGGCTGCATGAACATTCAATGGTGATGCTCATGATGGGAGGAAGACGATGATCCAAGTGCTGATGCTGATCGGGATAAAGGTGACGGTGGTGAGGAAGAAAACCGTGATGTGTCATGGTTGCGATGAGCAATACGAGTGGCCTGATGACCGGCCCACTCGTGCTGCTGCACGCGCATCGCGACGACGACGACTACTACAACTAC